TGATGTATCGAGATCACCCATTCGAGTCCAAGGACCAAGACCGAGTCTTCTCCGTGGGGGCATGCCTGCGTCGCCCTACGTTTGCGTCCTTGCTGGCCAAGCCTGGCGACCGGTCAAGGGGCGGATAGGGCGACCATCCCGTCACGTCGGCCGGGGATGCATCGATTATGGGCAGATGTCGAGCTGGGAGTCCAGACGAAGACGGGGCTGCAACCGCGTTTCAGGCCTTCTGAAGATGGGCCATAATGGGTTATAACGCTGCGCCCACGAGAGTGGGTGGATTAGAATAGAAGGAGAAAGATCATTACCAGTCGCAATTGAGAAAAGTTGAAGCACAGCCTGTATCCCTCTTTCTCCATCGTTTCCCCCCTTTCTTCTCTCCATCATGATGGTCCAGAGGGTGTCGCGGCGGCGAGCCTCCGATGGCAGCTTTTTGTTCCCGCCCGAGATAGAGAAAAAGTTCAGACGGGCCCGCACTCTGAGACGAATTCGTAACGCACGGGAGTCCAATGACAGGTTTTTCTTGCGGCGGTGCTCCAGGCTTGAGCGTTCGAGATGATGGCGGAAGGGGTATTTAGACCTGATGATGCTCCACGATATTTCAGTCCACGGGAACAAGCAGATCGGTTGCCGGACCACTTGTCTCTTCTCTTGTCGTTGCAACCTCAGCGGGAGCCTACCTAGGTGAAGATGCCCTGTCGATCCGGGATTGGCGTCGGGAGGTTTACCCCGACGCTACGCTACACAAGCTTTGTCAGCCCCGAGGACAGACCGAAGAGGACGATCCTCGGGGGTTTTTCTGCAGTTTCCGGCCTTCGAGACATGCTTCGTGATTAAGGTACAGCAACAGAGTTGAGCTAGGGGAAATCAATAGATTGAAGCGGGAGCTGCCATATTGAGGTGGGGAGAGTTAATCGGCCTAGTGTCATTCTTGTTGGAGATTGTCAGAGAGGCCCGTTCCAGGGCATTTCGCCCTTAGCAAGCAGTAACTTACTAAGCGTTACCAAGTTATAAGCGAAGCGAACTCGCATATCATGGCCGCTTCAGGGTTGCCCGGGCAAATGGGAAACGCTGGGTCCAGCACCACTACCACCCACAACCGTCGTCATCGCACGACTATGAAACAAGCATCCGGCCACTGTTTGACCCATCCGACACTGAGAAAGGGAATGTCCCGCTGTCTTTGCCATTTGATAACTTGATTGATGGGGAGACAGAGTTCAACGGCTCTGACTGGGGTAGAGGTTTAAATACCACGGGCCGGCACACTCAAAGACCAAGAATATCCACGCAGCGTGGCAGTTGACCTGCTGAGAACTCTCGCTTGCTTCCCCCCTGGAAATGAGAGGGTTTCCACTTACAACTATGTGGCCTGGACTATGAAAGACTCTGGGGATACTTTCTCAGCTCTCTCGTTGCCTCGCATAATTCGTGACTCCATAATTCCTGTCGCTCTTGCATACTAGCTTCTCCTTGCTGACAGTGCAGCACGTGGGAGATGCGGGCTATTAATGAGTGCACTCCTCGCGATCCCTCCTATGCCAGTGCTCTCGTCTCTTTGGGACCAACCGCTCGTTTCTCTTGGCATATGTGTAACGTGAGCTCTGTCGAGTAAAAAGACCTTGGACATGAAGCTGATCGCAGACTTTATCAAGTTGATTAATATATGAACATGTCCCTCACGATCAAGGCTGTTCAACCTCTCTCTGTACGTGCCACTGGCGCATTTTCTGATGGAAAGGGTGGCAGCATCCTGCGCATCAAACAATGGTAAAGAAGAGATGCGTTTTACAAGCTTCGCATGCCTAATCTGGGATTCGCTCTGAGCAAGATTAGTTGAGAGTCAATGCAGTCACGCTTTCAGCTTGCAGGTGTCGCCGAGGTCCCGTGCATGGATGATCGTGGCCCGACTTGTCCACGGACCAGAAACAGTTTTGGGCGCTAGCCATTTCTGACCAGAGAAAGAAGGCGTTATGTGCGAATGACCCGACGGGATGAAGTTTATTCCCATTTTGGCATCTGCTTCACCCTCTCAATTTGCCAGCAATAGGATTGGTCAGGCTGGGAAAGACTCGATGCAAGATACTTAGATATGTAGACAAACTGGAAGAGTTCTGCTAGGGGGGCTGTGTCAGTTGGCTGGGGGGGCTGTGTCCCACTTTCTCAAACTAATCCGACCAATGAGGGGCCAGTGATTATATCGACCGATTTCCACTACTGCCAATTGCCAATTGCCAATTGCCCACTTCCACTTCCACTTACCCACTTCAGCCCACTTCAACCTCGCCGTCGCCGCCCGCGAAAAGTGAAGCTATGATCAATACCCTCTATACTACTTCTAATATTATTACTACGCCATATAACGGATAAGAGAAGCTTAGGCTTAACTTACCTCAAGCCTTTAATAAAACTCTAGGATAACTTAAGAGATTTCTTACATAAATTAGAGCCTACCAACGCTTTTATAAAATAAACTTTAAGAACGAAACTAAAGAAGTTATCTATACCGCCTCTTTTTTGTTTAAAAAAAAAGCTCTTGTATAATTCAAACTATATTTTACTAACTTTATAATAACTAACGACTAGAATACTCTCAAACTAGAGACTTAAGGCATCTTTAAAGGACTATATAGATTTAAAAACGCACTTTTATCTCTATCTTAAAAACTAGATAAAAAACGATAAACTAAGAGGTTAGAGGTAGGCAAAAAGGGAAAAGGTAAATAAGTTGAGGTACGAGTTGGGATAATCAGAGAATCGATTGTATTGATGATTATTCTATGATATAGTGGGAAAGTGTAGTCTATATATAATATAAATATCACATGTAATCATATGTAATCACATGTAATCACATGTAATCACATGTGATGCTTAAGTCCGAGCATTAAGTTTATACGGGCATATGTGCCTGTCGGCGCTTTAACATGTATATGTAAAGCTTATTTACGTACGGGCTGTACGTGCGTACAAAGCGTTGTATCTCAGTAGATACGTACTTCAGTTGAGCCTTTTATTACCATGTAACGTCTTAAGCACGTAACTCTTATGATACGTGTATTTATAAATTATAAATAACGTGGTTTACCAGTCAGCCGCGCATATCAGTCAGCCGCGCATTTTCTTATCGCATACTAAATTGCATATTTATCCAATTTCTTTGAATAATAACTAATTAAAAAGATTTCAGTATCTTTATAATATATTTAAAATATAACTAGTTAAATTTAATAGAAAAAGACACTTTAATCTTTTTATATTGAAATAAGTAGTGGAATAGAAATATGGGTCTTTGATAAGGATATAACTACTCTATCTCTAAATAGAAATTAATTTTTAAAACTTTTTATTTAGTTTGGTGACTCTTATCAAAGACTAATGAAAAGTTTTAAACGTTATATAACCAACAATGAAAAAGATATTAATTATATAATGTAAGCGACTTAGTATACGATAAGGAAATGCGCGGCTGACTGGTAAACCACGTTATATCATTAAAATTATAGAAAATCAACGAGTTTAGATATATTTATGAAATATATGTAGCTCTTATATTCATTAAGATATTAATATATATTTCTTATGTCATAGAGTACTAGTTTTAGGGTACTAATTAAGTATAAGTTTTAGAATTTTGGTAAATATTCTAAGTTATAGTAGCTAGACTAGGCAAGGATCTAGATCTTATAGCTAGTTAGAATAGGTTTTATTAAAATTGTTATTGTCTTAAGAGATCGACTTATAAATCGGACTATAGCTTTATTAACTATAAGGTTTAAACTAGGTATATAAGGAGAATCCCCAGTCTCTTGAATATAGGCTGACCACTAATTAACTTTATGGTATATATCTAGTATTTAATCTTAGCTCCGGCCCCGGCCCTGTCTGGCCTGGCCGGGCTGGCTAGCTAGGCTAGAACTTAGCAGTATTAAATATCCATAGTCGCCGGAGCAGTAGTTAAAAACGGTCTTAGGATATAAACTGTATAAATAGGTGAATAGGATCCTTCCTCTATTGCTAGGTTGATTAGTAGATTAATAATCTAGATTCCTTATAAATCCCTATATATAATAGGATCCCTAAGAAGAGGTAGATTTCGTCTACTAAAGTCTTTCTCTACTTATATATTCTAGCCCGTCTAGCCCTAGGGCCCTCCCTAGATAACGGTGCTGCATTCGTCCACTGGGCCCACTGCTCAACGTGGCCCTGCGGAACGTACTGCATGAATAGGTCAAGCGGGCTTGCCGGCAGCCCCCGTACCTCTTGGGCCCGGGCCGGCACGTCAAGGGGCCGAAAGGAACCCGGAAGGCCATGCTCGGTAGCTGGAGGTTTGTGGGGCCGCACTGTTGCTACGTCGCAGCGTTCTGGCGTACAGTCTGCATTGCAGGCAGCAGTTGTTGAAGTGCGGAAGTGGAATTGGGCGGGTATGCTCGGACCAGAACGAGCAATCTGAACCCATAATAATCTGGGTGAGACCAACCAATGAAAATGCAGGAATCCAGGTGCCTCAGATGAGGGATATTCCTGGCTGCATCTGGAAAGGAGAGAACGCAACATACACAAGAATATGATCACGATAATCCACGACAGCAGTAAGGTCTTCTGGGTAGACCTCAACTACTATACAGCTACGTATAGAAGTAACAGAAGCATTAGATGCAATAGAGGTATCGGAATCACCAGAAGACATCATAGCATCATTCAAAATGGTAATAATAGTGGTGATAATAGGCAAAAGAACATAGGGATAAGTGACGTATCGTCAAGTACCCCTTTAAATGCGGGGTAATAGTGGGTATTTCGTGGTCTTGGCGAAAGTGCTGTCCATCCGCACTCCATGGGATATACCGTACAAGACGGGTAATCGGCTTGTGGAAAGCGGTATCGTACGGCAGTAACCGGCAGCGCCACGTGTGGCGCTGCGACAAGGTTGGCTTCTGCGGATGATGCGAAAAGAGAGGGGCCAAGGGCTGCTCTGTGTATCGAAGACCGTGGATCAGCACAGAGTCGATAAGTGCGATAGACGACGAATGCGATCGAGTGGCTCGGCGCTGATGGCACCCGAGGAGTAAAGTACCGCTTAGCACCGGAGCAATAATATATAAAACCTCAAAATACGCAAGAGCCGGGCAGCCAAGCTGGATGACGGACGCGAGACACCAGCATACCCTTAAGCAGGACAGGACGTTTATGTCGCCCCTTTGACCTGCCGGGTCGGCAAGCTTCATGGGTTGGCGAGTGCGGTATATCTGTTCATTTCTTGCTTGTTTTCCTGCCAAAATTTCGATTGATAGAGAACCGTTTACCGCCAGTCCTACCTACAAGGGTAAAAAGCGCCCAGCTCGCCTGTCAAACCTGCAGATTCTTTGAGGAAAACAACTACAAGACTGCTTTGTTAAACTCTGTGATACATCCCCCACGCGGCACTCAGCACTCAGCAGGGATGATGTGACATCGCCGCTCTCTCATCAGAACAGTCGACATGAAAGGGACAAAGCATACCCATGTGGTCACCAAAGCCGAGTTGACGAGGCGGCGCAAAATCTCGGGCACCCCCAGAGAAATATCATACGACAGCGACAAAGTCCAAGCATACATGTTAGACCTTTACCGGTTCATGGAGACGGTAAAAGGCTTGAAACCCGAAACGGCCGCTTGCGAATATTAAGACGGTGATGATGGTCTGGTGAACAACGTGTTCTTGTCGTCAATGATAGCTCAGCAATGAACAGCCACAGGCCGAATAGATTGGCGAGGTTGGTGGGCGAAGCTGAAGGAAGCTTGCCGTCAATTACACGTCAGATAAATATGCTATCACAGGAGCTGGTCTTCTTCCCGGCTAATGGAAACTACCTTCCTGCCTTGGTTGTATTTGGCTATCGAAACCCCATATGATAGGACTAGGCTTATGAGAATTTATTACTTAATGACACCCTCTCATCACATGTAGTCTAGCTTATGCACAATATTTTCTATCTCCTCTACTTCTTACTAAGTACTTACCATTAACCCCCTATCCTTTTACCTTCTTAGAAAGTATTCGAAAATGAATATCATAGTCCTTAAGATAAGTCCGAGACACTTGACTGTTTCCCCTATGTGTACGTTCATATTATAGTATAAGTAAGCATTAAAGATATCCCCCACCTTAGTATCTATCACCACACCGTCACCTCGACTAAGCATCGCAATCACAAAATTCAAGCTGTCGAATGTAGACAATGGGGTCCCGGAAAAGAAGATGTTTATATAATACTCAACAACTGAGCTTCTTTATTACATCGGAAGTTGATAATATAACAGCATACCTGTCCAGCTAGCAGATATTGAAGGCAGCAGCAAGTCCATACACTTTCCGTACGCATAGTTTGAACAACGTTATTCTTGGAGGACCAACAAGTTGCGATCATCGCTAAGCTCACCAATTAGTTCTGATTGTTGTCTCTGTCTAGACTTATACCTTCCTGTCAAGATGAGCTCCATGGCGCGTTACCGGCCTGTGACTTCTTCAGCATACATACTGCATCATAGAACCCAACGGCAGTTTCACCATCACCCTGTCAGTCATTGCAGAGAAAACACCACATTACAACACAGTTGAACCTCACATTTCACATCTCCCGAGCGCTGGCCACCTACATCCCACCCACCAACCCGCCTCACAACTTCGCCTTCCCCCCACTCTCCTCCTGACTCCTCCCAACAAGCTCCCAAGCAAACTCCGCCAACGGGCCCCTCGTAACAGCAAACCTCTTGGCCTGCTCACTACTAGCCTGCCCCTGCGCCGCCCGCGCTGCGATGCCCTGACACACGCCCGCCAGCCGGAACAGACTAAACGCCGCGCCCCACGACAGCTCCGTCGCGGGCGTCCACCCGCCGCCCACGGGAGAACCCGCGGGCGCCTGCGCCGCCTCGGCGGTGTACCACCCGACAATCTCTTCAATCGTCGGCAGACCGGGTGTCGCGCCGGGGAGGAAGCCGTCGTTGGCGTAGAGGCCGCTTCCCGCGCGCGAGGCGGTGAAGTACGGGTGGAGGAAGTTGCAGAGGTCTGAGAGGGGGTGGCCCACGGTGGACATTTCCCAGCTAGGGTTTTTGTTAGTTTCCGTGACGGGCTTCATGACCGGAAGAGAAGAGGGGAAGAAAGGGGGAAGGAGAGACATACTCCAAGATACCAATGACCCTCGGCTCGGTCTTGTGAAAAACGAGATTATCAATCTTATAATCCCCATGAATCAACGTGCCCCGATCCTTAGGTTGCCAACTCTTATTACTGAAAAACGAAACCATCTCCCCAAAATGCGGCAAATCCCCAACCTTTTCCCCCGTCCCCAGATCCACCGCCGCCGCCTGGCTCTTGCAAATCGTAGTCCACGTCTGAATCTGCCGATCGTAGAACCCGCTCTTCTTCCCAAACGTCTGCAAGCCGACGTCCTCGGGCGCGACCCTATGCAGCTTCGCCAGCGTCAGCGTCGCCGCCTTCCACAGCGCCTTGCGCTCCTCGGGCGACGAGACCTCGGGCATGGCCGGGTCCTCGAGGATGCGCCCGTCGAGGAACTCCATTATGTAAAAGGCGGTGCCGACGACGGACTCGTCCTCGCAGAGGCAGTAGGCCTTGGGGACGGGCACGTCGGTGTGCTCGAGGGCGTGGATTATGCGGTGCTCGCGCTCCACCTTGTGCGCGGCCTTGGACAGGAGCTTTCCGGGGGGTTTCTTGCGCATTACGAAGCGCTCGTTCGTCGCATCTGTGAGTTGGTATGTCGGGTTCGACTGGCCAAAACCGAACTGTGGGAGAGGACCAAGTCAGTCAAGAAAAGGAAGTTTCTTCTGGCCATGGGCAAGAGAGGACAGGGCACTGAGGGGGCATGCTGGCACAGAAGGCAGACCGTAGACGTACCTGTTTGATCTCCAATGGCGTCTTGATCTGCGGCACATTCTTCTCGATATACCGTTCCAGCGCCTGCTGGTCGATTGGGTGTCGCACGCGTCCTGCCATCTTGTCCTGTGCCGTTCTTGGTATGCAGAAAGAATGGATGCTGAGAGTAAGGGTCGTGTCCAGTGCGGGTTTACAGTCGAGTATCGCGGATTGTAGTAGCAATTGGCTGGATTGTCCCAAGTTCTTAATTCGCAGGGGTACTTGTCGTGTCGAACTGGCTGCCGAGGAAGAGAGGTAGTCGGTCGAATTCGCTGCAGGTCTGCCGTTGCCGTCAAAGTTCTCGGTCGGAGAGGTGAGTCCGGGGTAAAATGTTACCGGGCTGGCCGTCGCATCTCTCTGGTTCGGACCTTTACCAGCCTCGGTTCGTCCCCCAGTGACGTTTTAGCGGGCACGCGGGGGTGAGCCGGGGCCTGGACTGCTATCCAAAACTCCATGCAAGGTGGGGCGGCCGGGAGAGCAAGCTGATTGAGTGCCCCAAGTTGTCCCCAACCAGCACAGAAAGATGCCGAGGTCCACCGGCCTAAGGAGCTGCAGAGCTGTCTTAGCTTTGGGACTGCCATTTTCTAGAGCGGGGCAGACGGACGCACTTGGGGAACCTGCACCCGACCCAGCCCAGGGTCTCCTTCACAGTTGGCCCTTGGATGCAGCAGAATGCGGAGGTGGAGGCGGGCCTCGATAGCCGCACCCGACCGAGCCAGAGATCCAATAGGTCTAACTTGTGGAAGTCAGCCATTCTTTTCCTCCATGCATGGCCCTGATCGAGGATCTGTCGCCTCGGCTCCGTGATTTGCTGGTGCAAAAGCCTCGTTCCTGGGCTGAATGATCCATCTTGCGGGTACCGTGGACAGAAGCCCATCCCAGGTCCAAGTCGCTGTCATGTTAATTGCTCCTTCACATGGAGATGCGATGTAATACTCCGTGAATGCTAGTCAGTGTCCTTCTGGTCACCCTAAATAGCAGTCATTTGCAATAAAAAGACTAAAAGGTATAAATTGTTCAAAGAGTAAAAGGTCGTTAAATCCGTGTTTCTCTCCATACATGCGAATCCGGCGACGGATTTGCTAGGAAACCCAGTCTATCTCCATCAGTTCAGCAAGTAAGAAGTGGTGAGGTAGATAAGTATAAGCGTAAATATCATCTTCAATCATTCTCTTGTTCCCGTACATCAAACTCGCGGCACACCAATCGCTGGCGGCTTTTCGTTTTGGGTTTTTCTTTTCTCTTCGTTTCAACTCCCTGCTGAATCACGAAATATAAAATAAAAAAAAGAAGGAAGCCGTTGGTAGCCAGACCATCTGCCCAATTCCTACACTACCGACCGTTCCCCAAGAAGAAGAGTACCTCGTCCAGGAAAAGAATTGTAACACGAAGTGAAGTCAAATCAAAAACAACAAGGAGAAGGGGGTAATCGAGTAAACACAAGAGGGGTATCCGTCGTTTCGAGTCGTCCATGCATTCTTCCCTCCCATTTCCCTTGCGGCCACCCGTCTGAACGGGCGCCATGCTGTTGCCAGTCGATAATGTGTATTAGCCGTGAAAACGAAAAGGAAAAAACAGACGCGATAAAAAATACCAATGACGACCGGAGTGGCATCGGCTAGACCTGGCAGCCAGAGAGCAACGAGAGTCCTGTGTACCGGCCCGCATGCTGCATATAAAGACGTCTGTGTGGAATAATCCAGCCCCTATAAACACATCTCCCGTACAAGCTCCCTTGTCTCCTTTATAGCCCCAGTTCGAGAGAGTGGAGATAGCTGCAAGTCGTCTCTGCAGACGGTCGTGACTTCGTGATCGGAATGCGCGACAAAACAAGAACAAAGTTGTATGGCTGCGGATCAAGACTCGTCATCCTCCTCCTCGTCCTCTTCAGGAGTTTCGGATGCCTTCTTGGCCTTCTTGTTCGAGCTGGAGTCGTCAGCCTCCGATTTCCTCTTGGAGCCGGCCTTGGACTCGACAATGTCCTCGGGGCCCTCGCCGGAGCCGCCGCCCTTCTCGCGCTCGATGGCAGCAACCTCCTCGGCGGTGAGGAAACGGCCTCCAGGTCCGCGAGGTCGGCGCATGGCATGGTTGTGTCTTGACTCGTGAAGGTATGGCTTGCGGCCCTTGGAAGTAAGACGCAGCTGCTCCTCCAACTTTTGGCGTGCGACACGACGCTTGAGAATGCGATGGAATTGCTTAGCATTGACGTAGAGAGGCGATTCCTCAACACCACCGGCGGGCATCTCGGGCGATTGCGGGTGAGGCATAGCTTGAGCCTGAGCCATTTGCGGCGGCGCAACACCAGGTCGCGCGCCGACGTGGCTCATCATGCCCTGCGCCGTAGGAACGCCGGGGCTGGTAACTTGGCTGAGGCGCCTCTGGCCCGGTAGCTGCGAAACGTTGTTCATCTGGGTGGGTGATCGAGGATCGCGGCTCTCCTTCTTCGCTCCGCCCATTCGTGGCGAGGTCTGGGGCAAACTAGGGTCCGACTGCATGTAAGGGTAGTTGGATCCCGACGCAGCTGCAGTTGCCGCCATGGCAGCGGCTTGGATTTGAGGCATGCCATAATGCATGCCCTGCTGGGGGACGTTGTACTGTGGCTGGTACATGTTGTGTCCCTGTTGTTGAGAGGGTGATTGCTGTTGAGACAGGATGGGTGACGTCTGTACGCCGTGAGGAGAGGTGATGCTGTTTCCTGTAGTGGAGTTGGTGTATCCGGAGTGCGCGTTTTGAGGTTGTTGAGGATATTGTGCGTATTCCATCATACTGGGGTTAAGCTTGTTCGAGGGGTGGTCAAAGTGTGCAATGAAGGCAATTGTCTCCGTCGCGTAGAGTGTCGTAACCAATTAAAAGCCAGCGAAGTAGTGTAGCTTGACAACGGCTTTGGCGCGGTTGAAAAAACGTGACCGTGGGAGAGAAAAAAGGGTATCACGGTTATGGGTCGCGAGTGACGAATGAGTTGCGACGAAAGCTGCCTTTCTCGTGAGGAGTGAGCTTTAAAATGACTGGGACGGCCCGTCTGCTTGGGTAGAGTTGGGCACACGGATTGGGAGTCGGCGGTGTCCTAGGGTCCTTTTTCCAGTGTATTGGGAGCGAAGGGGCTCAATCTATTGGTGATGCGTGGATGAGCTGGCAGTGGTGCGCGACGCAAGTGGCCGACCACGGCATATGCGGGCTGATGTAGTCGCGGGGCGGACGAGGTGGGTGGCTGAGCCTGGGGTCAGAATGACAGCCACGTGAGGGCGGCGAGAGTGTGTGGGTTCGACAAGAGGCGGGCCAGGTATGTCGAGGCTGCTACCGTACAAGGCGGAGGCGAGGCGGCGTGGGTTCAGTTGCTTCTAGCCGATCGAGGGCTCCGTGGTCCGGGCTGGTCTACCGGCTGCACAGCGGGAGAGCGGGTAGGGCAAGAGTTGGCTTGTCCTTGTTCTTTTGGACGAAACAGGTCGGTGCCTTGAGTTCTCCAGAAATTAGAGACCGTTGAATCCTTTTCCACTTCGCGTCGTTGGATCTGTCCAACCAAAAATGTTAGTTCTCCTGTATATAAGCCAAAGCTCGGGATGATGCGACAAAGACAAGCAAGATGGGGTGGGGTTCATGTTCCTCTCCTGGCGTCTCGGGCCACCACTTGATGCGCTGGCAGACCTCGCATGCATGACGGAATATGCAGAGACAAGGCCCACCATGCCAACCTACGCGGCGACACTTCCCCTTGATGCGGTTGTGGTGGCGGCGCAGAGCCAAAAGACAGTCCGAGCTGCTGTGACAGAGCCCGTGCTTGCACCGGTGGAGGGGAAGGGGTGCCTGTACAGGCGCTGTCTTGTGTCGCTGCCACAAGCCAGGCTGGGCTCACTAAGCGCTTCGCAACAACGTCCATTCCACTGGAAGTGCACGTCGATGGAGTGGGAGTGGCTGGCGTGAGAAACCCTCCCAACGCGCTGCTGCTGCCTCGATATGTTGCCGAAGTGGTGCTTCGAGAAGGCATAGAAGGCTTGGTATGCCGATGCGCATCTCTGCGCGAAGCACAGCAGTCGAGACAGCGTAACGTCAGGGGGGGAGGTAGTGAAGACCCCAAGGGTGACGCGATGGGCCCGCAGATGACAGGAAAGAGACATATTGACGTGGACATAGTGATGGGGAGGGGGGCACCGAGGAATGGATGGTTACACCTCGGGGGGAACGGGCAGAGTACGGGTGCTGCGAAGGCCGAGGACAATGTGATAATGAAGAAAGTACAATAAACATACCACCAAAGTTGGAGATGTGGGTGTAATCGCCGATGAAAGCGATGTGCCGTGAAGGAGGTGTGAATGTTATGCGCCCTGCTCAAGTCAGTAAGCATGTGTTGTCCGTCCCGGTTTCAAAAGAACAACAGGCGCACACAACGTGTGTGAGAGGAATCGGGAGAAAAGAAAAGACAACAGAACAGCTAGCAGAGTATTCGTACTGCCTCTACTTTTGAAACCCTCGAGTGTCCTCCCTCATCTACTTGGCAGTGCCAGATGAGTAGGTAGCTCAAGTTGTGAAGCGCCAAATTTGACAGAGACGCCAGACGAGGATAGCGTACAAAAAAAATAAAAAATTAACGACAAGACGGGATAGGGAAGGAAGATGGCAGCCGTCTTCAGGGACAAAGAAGCGCGCGTACAAGGCTGGACAGGAGGGGCGCCAAAGGACTTGAGTCGAGTGGCATGCGAAACGTACCTGGTTGGCTGAATTTTTGGCTTTGGGGGTGAATTTTTCGGGGATTGGCTCCTGGTCTAAGTCGAGGCGAAGCTTTCTGATAGGCCTTTGACTCGAGTGTCACGATATGAGCTTGAAATCGCCTCCAAAGAAACTATGACGCGTTGCGCGATAGGTTGTTTGGTGGTAGGGCGAAAGTGCGACGCGGTTGGGCGACTGGCTTTTGCAGTGGTCGCGCTGGGCTGATGCGATGCGATGCGTGCGGTCCGGAGCGCTGCGGTCAAACAGGCAGAGACGGGAGAAAATGCTCTTTTCCGCAGGTTGCTTCAGTCACCTGATAAGCGAGCAGTTGGATTTGCTACTGGTATTGGCCAATAGACAAAGATGCTTGGCCGGAGGATAGCGAGAAGTCGAAGTCGACGATGATAGGGCCTCTCTGAGCGGATTCCAAGTCGCGAACAATTCACGACTGTTGGGTGAGTGGTGAGTGGTGAAATGTGAGTGGTGGTGTCAGTTCGGGGGAGACGTTTGGAGAGTTGAGGGAGGGACGTGAGTGGTCGCAAGAAAAAACCGAGCTGATTTGCTGGGTTTTGTGGGAGGGCGGGTTTTTTCTGGCTTTTGGCTCGTTGGATTCGCTGGAGCTTTTCCTTTTGGCGAACCGGGGCTCTTTGGCACTTTGTACGCCTGTTTCGGAGGGTCAAGAGGGTCGAGAGGGGGGAAAAAAAAAAACCAAGCAAAAGGTGCGTGGATCCTAAAGACACGAGTGTGAGTGTGTGGCGTCGGCGGAAGATGGGTCACCTTTTTTCTTTTCTTGCTGGGATCAGGTGGGCCTAAGGCTGCAAAGAGAGGGGTGGATTTAACAACAGGAAAGACGGAAGGAGGGGAAAGGAAGAGAGGCCAGGGCAAGGCAGCCAGGCAGAAGAGGGGTAGGGGTGGGGTGGGGGTGGGGGTGTATGGTATGCTGACGTTGACGTCGCAGTGAGGGAAGGAAGGCAAAGCAGACTGAGAGGGTAAGAACGGGAGGTGAAAGCGAGGAAGGAAGTCCTGGCAAAGCCGCACCGTGCTGGCTGGTGGTGGTGGTGATGGTCCAACTTACAGCAATGGAAGGTGCGGAGTACGGAGTACACACGCCCCCTCCCGTGTTGTAATTATCTTCTTTCCACTTTCTCAGAACGTCGTCAGAAGTCCACCAGACCAGGCAGGAAGTTGGGCTGGCAATAACAAAGTGGCAGAGTCGGGAGGCAGGGCCGGGCAGAGCAATGTCGCGTCACTGCCTTTTTTTTTCTTGGGGTTGAGTCGTCGTACTCTGCGCTGGCTGTCTTATTCTTGGACGTCTTCCCACCGCGGTGTTCTGGCGGTGTGTGTAAGTGAAGTACCGTAGAAGAAGGATAGAGTGCGCGCGGGCGTTGTGCTCGGTGATGCGTTGCGTTGCCGCTGACGGCTTGCTTGTTTGCCTGCCTGCCGCGCTATGGGTTTCCCCTTGCTGTTGCTGTAGACCTTTTCTGCTTTTCTTCACGTCTCTCTTTTTTGATTCTTCGCGCGCGTCTCTTCGCAGCTATGCTATCGTACGCACGCCCTAGATGCAAGATCGATAGAGTGTTCAAATGCGGAGCGGATAGGCTTAGCTGGTGATTGGCGACCGATTGATATGATGGTCGAGGATCCAATAGAATGACACCAGCTTGGGCGACCCTGGTGTCTGTTTCGAAGTGCTGCTGAGGGACGAAAGCTGATTGAATGATTCGACTCGCTCGCTCTCTTGCTGCTTGCTCTCTCTCTCTCTCTCTCTCTCTCTCTTCCCTTTTTTTTTTTCTGCCTTCGCACCTTGTCACGTTTGGGTGGGTCAGAGAGGATTGATTGGTTGGGGCGGAGGAGAAGGTGGAAGACGAGGGAGAATTCTGAGCAATGATTTGAGGGGCGGGACCATTAACCCTTTAACATCTCTGACTGGCTGAATCAGCGGGTCTTAGTGGGGCCGTGGGTGTGGCTGGCGTCGCTGTCTTCGCTTCTGATTTGCTGTCATGACGTGATCTTGAGCTGGGTCTGCTGCGTTCACACCCCTTAGTCTCCGACAGAGGGGAAGGAGGTGTGCGCTTTGGAACTATGGGAAGAAGTGGGCCTGTCCAGTAAGGCATCCAGTCATTTTCTCATCCTCCCGTCGCTCCTTCACTGCTTGTCGAATTTCCAGGCCTTGGTTTTTTGAGTGCAAGAAAGCCAGGTGCAGAAGTACCTCCCACTTTCCTAGGTACTCGTGGTACTCTAACTGAGGACTGAGGTTCCTCAACTTCGTGCCGAATATCTCCATTATTGTCAACAAGTCGGCACCTTCCAGTGTGACATTGATAGTGTCTGTGGAAAGTCCGAATTCCTGAACATGGCTCGTCCTTTTCCGTTTATTGCGGCCTTGTTCCTTTTTTTTTCCCTCTTCCTCCGAGCTCTCGGCGTCTGCCTGTCAACCTCTTTGATTTTCTGCCCTGGCTTTCGAACTCTGGACTTTTCCGCATGGGGCAAAGTCTCCATCTGCCACGTTACTTCAGCACTTCCCTCTTTTAAACTAAGGCTGCACACACCAACGACGACAAAAAAAGATGAGACGAGGAGGGACTCATCGCACCGCTGTCGCTCAATGCCCATCCCGACCTCCCGGCAGGATGACCACTTCTGGTCCACGCTGACCCAAGCTCCAACACGACACGCGATATGTGGTAGACTGCTCTGCGTTCTCCTGAAGCTCTACGGCCTAGAGTTAGGTAGGTATTGAGGCGGACCCTACTGCACTGTACCTTGGGCTACCTCACCAAGCCTCTCTTCCGTCTTTCCATTTTCTCAGCTGTGGTTTCATGGCATGGGCCGCATGGCAGCGGTATGCGTGTACGGTGTGGGTGACGCAACAAACCAGCCGGTCAGCGTCGGCACTGAAGCGAAAACCTGATCCATCTGTATCATCCAACACTCCGAGGAATGAAGCCGATCGACACAGGTTGTGAGCTGGCACCTAGCAGTGCCTAATTTTAGTGACCGACGATTCACTCGGGGCCGCGCATCTTCTGTCTTCCGCCTTCAACGCTGCCAGGCTGCCTCATTTTCCTCGCCGCGACGGGCGACGGGAGTGGGACAACACGGACAGTGCGAGCAAGGGGGCAATGGAAGAAGAGCAAGAAAAAGAAGAGGCGGTGACGGCTGTTCTGCTTTGCCCAGTGTCGCCAAATGCTCTGCTAGCCTCCCTCGGCTGTTGGCTTTGGAACGGTGAGGGGCAAAAGAAGGTCAGCTTGACGAGCGACGGGGAGGCTGGGAAGACGACGACCTGATGACTCGGTACATTCGAATTGGAGTCCCCAAGGGTACTGCTGCCGGATGTGATATTGTTTCCAATATCTGGCAACATATGGTAAAAAAGCCTCAATCTCAGTACCAGCGCTTAATTGTCACAGGCCGGCTATGGTACTCTCATTTCAAACGACCGGGTGGAATTCCGAATCACTGTTTCCAAGTTCCATGGGCCATGGCAAGATCACCAGCTCCAAGCTCACTGCCGCCGGTACGGAATACCTACGGATACTGCTGCTACTGGTCCCGATGCGGACTGACGGTTTGCGCTGGTTGGTAGCTCGCCAGGGGAGGGGCTCGGAGCTCACACTGTCGATCGGTTGGGCTGGACTATTGGTGCGGGCTGGGATACTCCCCTGCAACTGCGACGCGACTGTCTGTCTCCGGGTTTCCTGTCCCAGCTCCGTCCGCGCCGCATCACACACCTTTCTTCTTTTTCGCGGCTTGGGGCAGCACGGCCAGATATTGCGAGGATCCACCTTCAGCCACTTCGGCCCCACGTGACACACACCGCATAATTTTCTGACGAAATATTTTAATGACTTTGGGTCTCTGAAGCAGCGCTTCCCTGACGAGCCGCTCTGCTCTGCTCTGCAGGTACGTACCTGCATCCTGCGCTGCCTCTCACGGACTTCTCGCGTCCCTCACAGGCTCCCACCCTCCTCGAGCAACGCGAGCGGGGAACTTTGGAGTGGCACTCATGAACCAAGGAAGCTCAGAAGACGAGGATGGTACACCAAGTCCCAGCTCTATAGTTTTCGTGCAGAGGACTTCATTCAGTGTCCCAGGCTTTGGCATCGGCAAAAGCCTGTAAGAGGAAGCTACACATTGCAAGCGCAATTGTCGAAAAGCACCAGTATCCAACCTTGCCGACGACGGACTATTCGTACGCTACCTACACAGCATACGCGGTTCAGTCCGTGTTTTCGTATCACATCCAGTGCGAGGTCTCCGTCCCGAGTGACTCGGAGTCACGAAACCTGCATCCGGCCGCTCGGAGATAGCTACTTACAGAGCTCTGACTGCAGCAAGGACATGCAGCCTGAGTATCAAAGGCTTGGTGTCTCACGGGCTGACAGTCGCAGTGGGGTTGCCCGGGTGCATCGGTCGTTGCACTCGCTCGAGCAGCAGCAGGAAGCACAGCAAGCTAGCAACAACGCGGGGAGTGAGAGACTATGGCAGCTGTATAGA